TCTGGTCTCAAGCACAATGACGCGGATTGCCTGTCTCGCGCACCTGTTGAGTCTCCATCATCTGACCAAGAACAAGGCATCCCATTTCTTGGAGTTCTGAATGTGTCGGAGATGGCTCGTCTTCAGCGAGAGGAGCCGGAACTACGCCCGCTTATCCAATACTTGGAGGGTCACCAAATTGAGGTACCACGAGTTTTCGTCCGCGGTTTGACATCCTATGTCCTCCGGAACGACGTGCTATACAAGCGCAGCTTCGTAAACACCGGTGAGACGTTTCTGCTTCTTGTACCATCATCACTGCGAGCAGAAATCTTAGAAGCGTGTCATGACGACCCATCGGCTGGCCATATGGGTAGTAGCCGCACTTTGGCCAGAATTCGCCGGAAGTATTATTGGCCGAAATTGAGGGATTCGGTGCACCATTATGTTAAGTCACGCCGCGATAGCCAGAGACGTAAAATACCACCATCGAAACCAGCGGGTCTGTTGCAACCAATAGAGCCATCAAAAGGGCCATTTCAGCAAGTGGGAATGAATTTGCTTGGTCTATTTCCTCTCTCTTCATCGGGAAAGCGCTGGATTGTTGTAGCAACAGACTACATGACTCGATATGCTGAGACATCACCTCTCGCGAAAGGAACGGCGAACGAAGTAGCCCAGTTTTTCGTCACTCAGATTGTACTACGACATGGCGCACCACAGGTTGTCACTACAGACAAAGGAACAGCATTTACTGCCCGTTTGACGCAGTCTGTTATGAAGCTCACCCACACCGATCATAGAAGGACTACAGCATACCATCCGCAAACAAACGGATTAACCAAAAGGCTCAATAGAACTCTCGCCGACATGATCTCGATGTATGTGGACGTTGAGCACCAGACATGGGACAGTACTTTGCCTTATGCAACATTTGCGTATAATACCGCAGTACAAGAAACGACACACTTCACGCCGTTTTAACTTGTTTATGGTCGGACGGTCACAACGACCTTAGACGCGATGTTACCTATCAACGATTCGAATGAGAGTGACCCACACATCAGCGACTACATAGAAAGGGCAGAAGAGGCACGGCAATTGGCAAGACATCGTATCATTTTGCAACAAGGCTCCGATGCAAGTCGCTATAATCTGAAGCGGAGACACGTACAGTACAACCCCGGAGACAAAGTGTGGGATTGGACGCCTATACGCGCACCTGGCCTATCAGAAAAGCTGATGCGGCGCTATTTCGGCCCTTACAAAGTACTTCGCCAGTTAGGCACGCTAAACTACGAAGTAATTCCTGAAGGGCAAGTGTGCTCAACCCGACGCAGGAATCGCCCAGAAGTCGTACATGTAGTACGAATGAAACCGTACTACGAAAGGCACTGAACGAGACAACTGATAAATGTGCTCAAACATCAGATAAATACTCCTTTACAAAACTGTTCGACGTCAGCGTACGCATCGGGACGATGCGTTTCAGGAGGGGGACTAATGCCGCATGTTGTTAGGCGCCTGCTGAAGTCCCGCGCCGCTTCCTGTTACTTTGAATTCTGCCACACCAACGGACAAGCCAAACGCGCCAAGCTATAAACGCGCCATTCAACGCTGGCTGCACGTGTCACCACATCACGCGCTGGACAAGGAACGCTGGCGGTACGCGCCAAGCTATAAACGCGCCATGCAACGCTGGCTGCAGGTATCACCACATCACGCGCTGGACAACGAACGCTGACGGTTTTTCGAGGACAGCTCAAGGCGAGACGCAAGAGAAGTTGACGATGTTTTGACCAGTGAGCTCACAACCTTTGTGTATTCAGTTGACGGGCACAAGTTCGCCATTAATAAATAGCTGTTTCAGCTTCCGGCACTGTATTTGTTCGTTACAAAATGTACAAATGTTGCACGCACAGACATATGTTGAAAAGTTGCAGGCGTTTATATAACCAGTCTTTTGCACTTGCACAACGATGTCAACTGGAACATGCGCCTTAGCAACACCAGAGGCTGATATGAAGCGCTGATGTTCGCGAAGATGCTGGCCTCGGAAACTGCTACATAAATTAACTTCAGCGCATGGCAATTAATCGCATCTCACGTTATCCCACCGTCACGGCTCTATCAAAATAGCACATATGCATTGTTTATAAAATTGGGTAGGCAGCACTGCAACCACTATTAACGTTTCACGAAGATTAGCGTCTACTTGAAAAGTAGTTCCGAGACCTGGCGTAGCTTTGTGGTGAAATGCTTCATCAGCACCCAGAATGCTTAGGTTTGCTTCCAGCTGGAACTCGTCGGGTCAACGCTACCGACGTCGGGTAGCGTTGACCAGTGTTAACATAACCAGTGTTAACACTCGCGCGTTAAAATTGCCCATGTGTGTTCTCGTAGTTCCTGGGTAGATACTAAACGTTGATCGCTTGTGGCACATACGCGCATACCAGCATCACATACCCACCCATTGGTATGTGCCGATGTCGGACGGGAAGTCTTTGACGACGTACGCGACGGGAGTGTGACATTATTCATGTCTTGACAAGCCGTCGTAATCGTCAAACCATCTTACTCTCTCATGCTAATTTTGGTTCGCGCCAAGTAAATGGGGTGATGACGAGAGCACCTAAATGTAAGCGGATAGATAGATAGGTAGATAGATAGATAGATACGCTCAAAGTCGCCGGAGTTCACTAAGAAATGCTTCGAATTTAAAAACAAAGAAAGGTGCCGTTTCACCACAGAAGTTATTGAGTAATAGGCATAGAGCTCACGCAAAATTTTGAATCACAGTAATTGCCACACTGTGCTATTTGGTGCATGCCACTCCGGAGAATACCTATAAAGAGGCAGACAACTGCTGAAAACGCTATTGGAGATAACCAAACTAATGGGAAGATCATCTATTGCATTGTCTAAAACGAAGTCGGTTTTTCTCATTAAAGGGACAGTACAGTTAAATAAATTATTTTTGACAATGTCTAAAGAACAATATTATCAACAACAGTGCCCTACTTGCCGAGAAATCAAGGTAAGTGCAGGAGAACACTAGCGCTCCGATTACAATAGGGCATTCGCAAAATGACCCCGTTACCTCAAAGGTACCACCAACATTTATTCACTAGTAATTGAACTGGCTGCACTAAATAACTTTCCATTCATCAGAAGACGTAATGAAATGCTGCTTGTTTGTTTCTGTTTGGTTCATGGAAAAAAGAATCACCGAAAGTTACAATGTGAAATGGCGCAAGTGGTTCGAAAATTCAGTTTTCTCCTAGGTAACCTGGATAGGTCTTGCTATCTAGAGGGAGGGGCCCAGTTGAACCAAGCACGCCTGCGATCGTGAAAACCATGATAGCCACTGTAGCTAGAGTGACCTAAGATATAAGGAGTATCCAAAAGTGCCAGCTTTCGCGTCATGGCCTCCGAGATAGCGGGCGCGCGGGAGGTCATAGAGTATGTATATCATCTTTTTGTAGCGGATACGCTGCGCTTCCGGAATCTCAGAGGCCATGCCCACAATGACCTTTTGCGTTTCTGAAAAAGATAGGTCCTCCTATCTAAACGTCGGCCAGCCAGTCTAAGGCACTTCGCCTGTTCATCTTATGACTATCTCACTACGTTGTTTCCATCAGTGGGCTCCCATCAAGATTTTAGATTTTTTAGTCAGCTGAAATACTTGCGTGCAGTGACAGCTTGATTCACCATTATGGGCTTTTTAGACACGGTCACTGGTGGTTCAAAGCCACACACACATACTCTATTAGATAACTTGCTAGCCTTGACTACTACTTTTTAAGGACAGCTAGAAGAGAACAACGCCGTACCACCTCAATATATTTTAACTTATTTCGTTTTAGACCTAGCGTACAACAACAAAGTTTGCCACGCTTCAAGCTTGTTTTCAATTCAGACATTCAAAAGAATACCAGTGACAAAATAACACAATTTATTGCATGTATATCAAATATATAAGTAATGTAGAAATTTGCCCTAAATATATCAAGGCAATGTTAAATTAAAGATAGAAACAGCAGCGCTCTCGCTGTGCAAACTAACTTACTGTAACAAAATACGTCTGTTATGACTGGCAATGCACGGATCCGGCCTGCAAGAGACTCTCATCGGCGTTTCCTCACAACGTGGTCCACGTCATGCAGGAACGCAAGGGATGTCCGTGTTCGCCACATGGAACGCGCATCACTGTCACTGGGACGCGCAGTTGGCGTCGGACAAGAAGCGCGTGCACCGACCACAGCATATAAAAGGAGCATAATTTTCAGCTGCAATGGCGCATGGCCGATGCTGTTTCGTATATGGCACCAAGAATAACCATCATTTACAATATGCACTTTGCGCTTATATTTTTTAATGTATATGGGGTGTATCAATGCAAATGAGATGTGGCATTGCACGTACACGTCCGCTTAAGCTACAGGAGGTGCGGGGTTCAATCCCCAGTGCCGGCCGGCCACCCACCGGTAGCTAAACAGGGTACAGGCGGGCTTCGAGGGGCTGTGACGTGTCGCCCCAGTGGTGAAGCTTACTCTGCCTGGAGTACTCCCAAAACGTCGCGTGGGGACGCGGTACAAATGAGATCATCTTCAACAAATAAATGGCTAATCCAATGCAAGTGCGATCACGTGCGTGGTATAAGGTATAGTATGGTATAAGGTGCCAAACTTTGTTTGCACCTAGCTGTCGATAACCAACTTGTCGATTATCTAATGCTTATAGCGACGAGTAGAGACTGCATGTTCATTTTTCTGGCACCGAATGAATAGTATTCAGAATACGTAAAAGGGGTCACGTCCCAGTCCCCATGTGCACACAGTATCGTATAGCACCATAGCAGCGACACCGTGTATCAAGGTTGAGCGATAAAAAGAAAAAAAAAGATGCAAAGCTTCCACTGGGAAATATTCCCTTTTACATGGTGTCAGACGCTTTGCAGTACTTTTCAGGATTATAATTATATGAAAACAATCTCTCCCGTCCTTTCTCTAGGTTAGCTTCTATATTTCCTCAATCATTCCGTTGCCCAAGAAGTAATCCGTGGCAATTATGCCATGACATTTCGGCCCTGCTCGCCTGAAATATTCAGTGACCTGATGATTGATCAATTCTGCCGCCCGACGATTTCCAATAGCAAGAGACGGAAAGGAAGGAGTGAGCTCTGCCATTATTGAGATGGGATTGCTACTACTTCGGTGTACGCATGCGTGCTTTTCCAGATATTGCATGAGGGCGCTTTCGCTTTGCGCATTGGGCCATTTGTGATGGACACCGGGTGATAAGAATCTTTGATACTTTCCAGTATAACCTGCATAATTGTAAAACACTATAACGTGACCACTTGGCTTAGTTTGATTTCGACATCGGTCCAGCAGGTCAATCAATTTCATAAAATAGGCATAGTTATCGAGAGCAACATCACCCAATTTTGTGAAGATTAACTTCACAAGCTCCATACGCCGCGCTGTGACGTTGTCGGACTCTTTGTCAAAACCCTTTGTGAACCTGTGAAAATCTAGAAGCACTAGTTCACCAGTTGCTTGCACGAACTCGCGAACTTCTAAGAGAACTTGTTCAATGGTGGGCCATCCTCTGATTCTGTCATGGGTGACGTAAAACACGCCGCTAGAATACTGCACTCTCAAATCAAGGCTGCGAATACCGTATGCCAGCTGCTGCGCCACAGTTTGGTCCTGGTTATACAGGTACTCCTCGTGCGGATGCGCGTATCCCTGTTGGTACATGCCAGAATTGTGCGTGCCAGGAATGAGTAGATCCAAAAGATTGAGCGTCAAGAGCATGCAACAGTTTTGCCGCATCCACCTAGGTTTGGGAGTGAAGCAGGAAGAGTACAATATGACTGGACTCCACGGCACCCAAGGTTCCAGCACGAAGGCCCAATAGCCGAGGCATTTCCCTTTCATCAATGTGCTGACATTGAATGTTGGCGCTGGTACACTCGTTGTATATTTGCCTGAAGGTTGTGTAATAGGTACCATGGATAGAACGTCAGCACGTTTTTCGGGAGGACTCCTCATTGTTAAAGCCGCGTGTGCCACTCTCATGTGCTTCTCGGGGATGCCAAACCAGTTCATCTCGAAGTGCCCATAGCTCCAGAATCCGGTGTACGAGGATACTGTTATGTAGATACCAGTTCTCCGCATTTCTGTAACAAAACAACACATATGTTTAATATATGTAATGTAAGGCAACGTTAAGGCCGCAAGACACTTCACTTATTCGCAGAGACTCTGCCCCATAACACAGGTCAGACTGATGAATATGAGTGTGTACATATGATAAGATGATGCGCATAACTAATGTTCACACTAATTCACCCCCCCCCCCCACGCGTGAGTGGTCAGCCCGGCCGCGTTATAGACCGAAAGGGAACGTTGGGTGAACTGTTTCAGATGGGATATATGGACAATCTTCGAACCACGACAGCGGTGATCCGAAGAAAGGTCGGTGGCAGTGACACGATAGTTCACTGGTGACGTTTGTTCATTGATTACATAAGGTCCAATGAAGCTTGACTAAAGCTCGTTGCACAATCTTGAAGTATGAATGAGTGACCAAAGCAACACTTCATCTCAAGAACTGAGAGAAACTTTGTTATGAAAGCTGTCCTAGCGTTGCTTCCGATCTTGCTGATTGGCTTGTGTATTAGGGCGAGTTCATTGCCGACATTCCTTAAGTCTTGCGATTTAGGAAACACCTTACATTTAGGAGAGAGACGTTGATATTGAAGTCGGGGAACGGCCATACACGAGGTAGAAAGAAGAGTAGCCAGTAGTTTGTTGAACACCGGTATTTTGGGCGAAGGTCGCAAAGCACTAAATGGTATCCCAGTGGTCGTAGTTTGTGCTATATAAATTGATAGCATGTCTATTTCTGCCAAACTGATAGTTTTTGGGTGGTAGGCTGACGTCATCTTATGTATTGAGCCACAGGTTGTAAGCAGGTTTGCGATTATAATGGACAGGAACGTCTTCCCGTTACCACTCGGGAGGACGTGGGTTGCACCATAACGGAAAACAAATGCCGTTCAGAGAGAAGTCTGTGACGCCTGAAGCGGAACTTGTGCGTAGTAGAACAGTCTCTGCGTGCCGTGTCAGGCGATCGACAGCCGTCACAATCCAACGATGAACTGCTGGCGTGACGGGGAGAGGTCTGACTAGGTTTATGCCAACAATGGCGAAATGTGTCTCGGGAAACGGGATCGGTTGCAGAAGGCCAGCAGGACACGAAGTTGGTTGTAGTAGGAGAGTGCTTTCCTGACCAGGCGACTGGGAAGCACTTTCCACCACTTGCAAGGCAGCGTTTAGGCCGCAAGACACTTCCTTACTCGCCGAAACTCTACCCCACAACACAGATCAGACCGATGGATATGGGAACTAACATTGTACATGTTTTTCACCTGAACGCCTACAATGGTGACACGCCCTTTTAGACATCATCATCATCATCAGCCTGACTACGTCCACTGCAGGACAAAGGCCTCTCCCACGCTCCGCCAGTTAACCCGGTCCTGTGCCTGCTGCTGCCAATTTATACCCGCAAACTCCTTAATCTCGTCTGCCCACCTAACCTTCTGTCTCCCCCTAACCCGCTTCCCTTTCTGGGAATCCACTTAGTTACCCTTAATGACCAGCGGTTATCCTGTCTACGCACTACATGCCTGGCCCATGTCCATTTCCTCTTCTTTATTTTTCTATGATATCCTTAACCCCGTCTGTCCCCTAATCCACTCTGCTCTCTTCTTGTCTCTTAAGGTAACACATACCATTTTTCTTTCCACTGCTCGCTGCGTCGTCCTCAATTTAAGCTGGACCCTCTTTGTAAGTCTCCAGGTTTCTGCTCCGTAGCTAAGTACCGGCAAGATACAGCTGTTATATACCTTCCTCTTGAGGGATAGTGGCAATCTACCTGTCATAATTTGAGAGTGCTTGCCGAATGTACTCCACCCCACTCTTATTCTTCTAGTTACTTCAATCTCGTGGTTAGGCTCTGCGGTTATTGCCTGCCCTAAGTAGACATAGTGTTTTACAACTTCAAGTGCAGTATTACCTATGTCGAAGCGCTGCTCCTTTCCGAGGTTGTTGTACATTACTTTCGTTTTCTGCAGATTTAGACATAGCAGGCACCAAGACGGTGCTTCACAAGCCGGGGTAATGTCAGGAGTGCGGAAATTCCACTGCGGCGCAGCCGCTGAAATAGATGACGACAAAGTTGCTGCTGTGGGGTTGAGTCTGGGTTGCACTATTGACTTGCATTCTGTGCGCCTTGTGCAGTGTGATCTCGCTCTGGTACCGACTGACGATCCCTAAATAAACACCCACTTAAAATATTGAAACCACGGGAAGAAGAATATACAAAACCTCGTAGCGACGAAAATAGACAAGTCTGTATTCCCACGCAAGAGCGCAAGAGCAGATGCCCAAACGGGCGAGAAAGATAAGAATTGGCCCCGTATCTGCATGTTTCACTGCAATCGTCGTCGAAAGACGTTAGTCTTGCGTCTGAAGAGAGGGAACAAAGCGTTTATTTATGGTCTGCGTGAGAATATATATATATATATATATATATATATATATATATATATATATATATATATATATATATATATATATATATATATATATATATATATATATATATATGTGTGTGTGTGTGTGTGTGTGTGTGACGTCCCAGAGGTCTTTGGGCAAAATGGTGGTCACCGGCGGCAGGCAGGCTTTATAGCCGGTGGCTTCTAAGGCTCAGTTTGCTATGAAATATTCTTTTAAATGCGAAGCATTTCTTAGGAAACTTAGGCAAAAATCTATCTATCTATCTATCTATCTATCTATCTATCTATCTATCTATCTATCTATCTATCTATCTATCTATCTATCTATCTATCTATCTATCTATCTATCTATCTATCTATCTATCTATCTATCTAGCTGCCTACGACTATAGCTCCCTTGGCCGTTTCGATAATGGTTTCGATACCAAACTTGGTATGGCATAACATTACTGTATGAAGAGCATATTTAACTAGTCCTAACATGAAAATCATGATAATATGTCATGAATGTCATAATTTACATTCCATGGTCCTGCAGCTCTTGTGGTGGTTTCGTTCACATGGCATGTTAAAAATCTCGTATGGTATGACATGATTGCTAGGCGAACACCAGCGACAGACATTAACATTAAAATCATGACATGTGTGTCATATTAAAACATGACTACTTGCCACGCTCATGATGCACTCATGGCCGTTTCGCTAGCGTCATATATACCAAATTTGGTATTACGGTACGTCAATGGAGGACGAAATATATGACTGGTGCAAACATGATAGTCCTGACACGCGTGTCATGGAAGAACATGAAAACATACCGCGCTCATAGCGTGCTCGCGGCCGTTTCGCTAGCTCCACATATACTAAACTTGGTAACGTGACGTGAATAGATGACGAAGGTATATGATAACATTTAAACATGATAAACATGACACAGAAGTGACGTACGGCATCATTTACCTTCACCTCGTAACGTTGTGCCGGTATTGAAATGACATATCAACATTTCTGATTCATGCTTCGCATATTATCAATTCCCACTGTACGTGGGATCTGCCAAGTTTTATCTTCAATTTTTGATTAGGCACAAAAGTCGCTTTCCTTCTAATTTTCGCTTGAAACACATTTCGATGAGTGACTGTGTCACAGCCTTTTTAATATACCAAGTGTTGTCGCTTCAAGTGCTCATTATATATCGCAGAAAACAGGATGACATCGTCCAAATATACCTGATACGTTCGCTACGTTTGGCCAGATAGGACGGTGTCAATGAGCCACTGACATGATGCCATGGCTGAGCATAAGCTCAAAGGTTTGTGCTCAGCACTGGCATCATGTCACTGATGAGCATTAAGCCTTTCAACTTGTGTTCAGCCATCACTAAACGTAGCGCAGCAGGCTGAAAAGGGGAGAACAAACGTGAACTTTAGTGACGGAATACTACCAACTCGCCCAGTAAGACATTGTTCTCAAGTAACTTCAATTCGTACAGCCCCGCCGTGGTGATCTAGTGGCTAAGGTACTCGGCTGCTGACCCGCATGTCCCGGGATATAATCCTAGCTGCGGCGGCTGCATTTCCGATGGAGGCGTAATTGCTGTAGGCCCGTGTGCTCAGATTTGGGTGCACGTTAAAGAACTCCAGTTGATCAAAATTTCTGGAGCCCTCCACTACGGCATCTCTCATAATCATATGGTGGTTTTCAGGTGTCAAACTCCACATATATATATCAATCAGTCAATCAATCAATCAATCAATCAATTCGTACAGTCGTGAGCCAGTTAAGAGCCCCTCCCCCCCCCCCACACACACACACTTTAGGATTGTGTGGGCTATACGTAAGCAGTTGCTCTTTGAAACATTCGTGTGCAAATATTCAGGAGCATGTCAAGGAACATCGCGTTGTTAAAATGAATCTGCACTCATATACGACACGCTGTTACAGCATTGCTCATAACTGGATCTTAGCGTGTAAGAAGCTAGAACTGAAGTTCGCCAACCAGATGGCTTATGCCTGGCGTTGTGGTTTTTCCTAGCATGACCGACGACATACAGCTATTCACATGAACTTAATGCTATTGTTAAAGAGCAAGGCTGGGGTGATGCTTGGCGCAGCCCGACTTCACAAATACCTTCGCCAGGTGATCGTTATTGTGTACCAATATCTACTTTGTTAGCAACTGATTATCCCATTTACGAGAAATGTCTAGTTCGGTTTCTCACATATGCAGTGGGGCAGCATAAAGGTTGATTTGCTGATTGCGCCTTTTTTTCTTCGCTTGGTGGCGATAGTTTTTTTTGCAGAAGCTACGTTTTAACTAAAACTTTTCTGTGGAATGGAAAAAAGTTAAGGTTCTATTTCGTGAAAATTACCGAAAAGGCAATTCTTTTTTGATTGCGAGGCTCTATCGAGGCTTTATAGTACTTCTGTATTGTTTTTTCATGACTTCCTTACAATTACGATAAAGAGCATGCACAGCAGGTTAAGACACAAACACGAAACACAAAAAGGCCGATACAAGCGCTGAACTTCAGGTGATAATTTTAGTGGCCACATTTGCTTAAATAGCACATTTATGCGCATGCATGCAGCATATTGGCTAAAGCAAAATTCAAGAACAATCTCGAGGGCAACTAAACTCAGAAGGCGCAATCAATTCGCCAATAAAGAGCGCGAAACATAAAGATATTCATAGCAAAAACAAATCTAACTCTAAAAATCCAAACTACATCACTTTTGGAAACCTAAAACAGCCTCTACTTTGGTGATAAAGTGACCGATGGGCAGCTAATGCACGCTTCCTTTGATTTAACATGTGAGGTTTAACGTCTAACAATATTATATTATTTTGAGAGACGCCGTTGTGGAGGGCTCCGGAAATTTCGACCACATAGAGTTCTTCAACGTGCACAAAAATCTGAGCACACGGACCCACAGCATTTTCGTCTCCATCGAAAATGCAGCTGCCGCTGCCGGGATTTGAGCCCGCGACCTGTGGGTCAGCAGCCGAGTACTTTAGCCACTAGACCACCCCGGCGGGGCGATACCGTCTTCCTTCCTTTCAAAACTTTCTGCCGCTTCTAACATTTTCACAAGAAATGCGCCCAATTTGGCACTTAGCTTGCGCATCTCTGGCTCGAACATCACAATTGGCAGAGCGACAAGATGGCCGTTTTGGCGTCAACCATGGCTCACGCTTACTTCAGGTGGCTTCCTCATCAGGACAAAAAAATTGGCAGATCCCACGTACTGAGGGAATCGACAGTATGCGAAGTACGTAAAAGGAACGTTGATAGGTCCCTTTAATATCAGCAGGACGTTACGAGGCGGATGTAGATTATGCCGTACATCACTTCCATGTCATGCTTATCATGTTTGCGCCTAGCATCTGTGTTCGTCGTCCATTCACGTCACGTAATACCGATTTTGGTATATGTGAAGCTAGCGAAATGGCCGTGAGCATGCTATGAGCGTAGCCTGTAATCATGTTTTACATGACACGCATGTCATGATTATCATATTTAGACGTGTCATTTACCTTTGTCGTCTATTCTCGTCACGTAATAGCTAATTTTGTATATGTTAAGATAGCGAAACAGCCACGAGTGCATCATGAACGTGGCATGTAGTCATGTTCTTCCATGACACGCATTTTGTAATCATGTTTCCACCATGCATATGCCTTCGTGATCCATGCAGGTCACGAAACACAAAATTTGGTATATGTGGATCTATCGAAACGGTCCCAAGCGTGCTATGAGCGTACGATATTGTGAAGGTATACATACTATGCATGTCATAATTATCATGTTTGGACGTGTCATTTACCTTTGTCGTCCATTCACGTCACGTAATTTGGTACTTGTGTAGCTAGCAAAACGGCCTCGAATGCATCATGAGCGTGGCATGTACTCTTGTTCTTTCATAACAAGCATCTTATATATCATGTTTGCGCCACTCACATATACCTTCATCATGCATTCACGTCCCGTAATACCAAAATAGGTATATGTGAAGCTAGTGAAGCGACCATGAGTGCCCCATGAGCATGGCAGGTAGTCATCATTAGCATGACATGCGTGTCAAAATTTTCACGTTAAGGTCTGTCCCTTACGTATGTAGTCATGTCATACTATACCAGTAATGCGACATGCCATATGGGTGAAACCACCGCAAGAGCATGAAATGTAAATCATGACATTCAATACATACATGTCTTGATTTTCATATTATGATTATTCCCTAATAGTTGTCATAAATTCATGGTATGCCATAGCAATTTTGGTATGGATACCATTATCGGAACAGCCAGGAAAGCTAAAAGTGATAGGTGGACAGACAGACAGCCAGACAGGAAGGCAGGCAGACTGACAGGCAGATAGATAAATAAATAAATAAATAAATAAATAAATAAATAAATAAATAAATAAATTTATATATATATATATATATATATATATATATATATATATATATATATATATATATATATATATATATATATATATATATATATATATATATATATATATAGATAGATAGATAGATAGATAGATAGATAGATACGTTCAATGTCGCTTAAGTTCGCTAAGAAATGCTTCACGTTCAAAATTGCTTGCTGTCTTGATAGCGCAAACTTTTATCACTGACCCTGACACGCTATTTCACTCTACAATGCTGCTCACCGTCACCCCATCTTTGCGCGTTTCTCAGGGTTCGCATCTTGACGTCTTTCATGATGGCCCTAACCCTCACCTCTTGCACCACGCTTTCGACGTCGTCCTCTCTCGCCTTCGCATTTCGTAGCACATGCAGCCCACTCGTTCGCGGAAGGCTCACACTCACCCCAGTACGCGGCCACGTGATCAGCCTTACCATAACTAGGGACGGGAAAACTTCGGCTAAGAATACCTTGACAGTTTAAAAGAGAGTAGCATACCTCCCGCTCTTAAAACATGTGTCATAACATTGTCTAAACACTATGCCACAGCCCGTCCGATTCATGGTTCCAAAACCATCATTTCTATTCAGTCGGCACCTGTGCGACTTGCACGCTTATTTTCCATCTAATACAACCCAGAAAATAAAGAAAAAAGAAACGCGAGAGCACACTAAGCTAAGCACAAGATGATTGTACTCCCTGATTCGTCCGCCAAATCGCTTCGTTTAGGTACGTTTAAATGAGCATGAACAATTCCCACAAGAAATCAGATATATCAACACTGCACCTGAAGAAGCGTGAACGTTGCAGATATTGTATCCAAGCCAAATGAGCAACACACCGGGAGTCATTCCTCTTGCTCGGATCGTCTTTGAAAGCTGCAGATACTTAATGAGAAGTTGGTGACAGGCCATCCACGCCGCTTTAACAGTACAGGTTTTGTGGTTTACACCTTGCTAGAAAATGCCATAGTTACCATTATGAGTAATAGAGTCTACATCACACGTTTACCAAAACAGGTGCCACGTCTCAAGTGTTCAAACAACGGCTAGTCATTTGTTATTCGTCACATATACGCTTTGCGCTAAAAGGTAGGCGAGGCATTACCTTATACGTCATAAAACAAGTCGACATATTCAGAGGCTGCAATTCATGGCATTTCAGTGTCCTTTCAGCTCTGCGATCGCCGAACGTTTCCAATATCTGTCCCTATAGAAAGCTGTCGGGTGAAACTATTTCTACAAGATTCATACTAAAATAATAATAATATTAGAAGATAAGTTGTTTAAAATTGAAGTAAAAAAAATGGCCCGTATCTGCATGTTACGCTGCAAATGTCATCGAGAGACGATAGTCTTACGTCTCGAGAGAGTGAACAAAACGTTTTTTTGATGTTCTGCGCAATAAAATAGGTGAATGGTATTCTGGAGGTGCACGTTAGGGTGCCTCGAGCGTGCATCGGAGGCGAACGAGCGCATTTAGTCACGTCACTCGTAAGACATGAGCGATATCTGGCACTTATCTTAGAAAACGAAGCACGTGTGCCCTGCGCGCCGGACTAGGAGGTGATAAGATAAGATAAGATAGAGGGGATAAACGCAACGTGACGGGTAGGTGCCACCACCATGTCGTCTTAGCAAAGTGTTGTAAACAATTGCCTTTTCGTGCGAGCGTTGCATGGTCAGTGCAGCGTGAGAAACGTTACGGTCCTTGGAACTACTTATGTATGTTTTTTCTAGTAAAAGACACTTAAACAGAATTGACGTGTTGTTATGGTGCCTCAGATATGCACACTAATTGATTTTTAGATGACAATCGCACAAGTAGGAACGTTGAAACTTGAGCAATACTGGTGGGTGCTGCGGATGGGGTCGGCCGATTGGGGTATCGTCTGGTGCTTTTCAGAGTAGCGTTACGAGGCACAAGCACACAAATGAACAGACAGACAGATAGACCAAAGTTTTTGCATGGAAGGTCCCCAAGAAAGAGTATAGTCTTTATTAAAACCTTATCTCAATGTGTAGGTACCCATATCTTCGTTGAGCATAAAGTCTCTGGCTCATTTTTTGCACCATTTTGTAAAGTCTTTCCGCTGACTTTGTCAAGTATTTTTGCGCTTTTCGCATTATCATCATCATCATCATCAATATCAGCTGGACTACGTCCGCTGCAGGGCAAAGATCCTTTCACGATCCACCAATCAGCCCGGTCTTCTGTTTTTTGCTGCCACGTTTGCCTGTGTACTTTTGAATCTCTCGGCTCACCTACCTTGCTGTCTCCCCTTCGTGCGTTTGCCTTCACTAGGGGTCCATTCAGTTAACCTTACTGACCAGTGGTTATCCTGCCTACGTGCCCGGCCCATGTCCATTTCTTCTTTTCGGTGAGTTCGCTCAGTTACCCTTAATGACCAGTGGTTATCCTGCCTACGTGCCACGTGCCCTGCCCATGTCTTTTTCTTATTCTCAATTTGAACTACGATATCCTTAACGCCGGTTTGTTCCCTGACCAAATCTGCTCCTTTCTTGTGTCCTATGTTTACACCTGGCATTTTTTTCCCATCGTTTCTGCGTCCTCATCATTTTAATCTGAACCTTCTTTATAAGTCTCCATGTTTCTGCTCCGCATGTGAGTACTGGGAAGTTGCAGCTTTTATATACTTTCCTCTTGAGGGTTGGTGGTAGATTACCATTCATGATTAAAGAATACGTGCCGAAAGTGATTTACACCATCGATATCTTTTTGGTTATTTCACTCCTATGGTTTGGCTCCGTGGTTGCTACCTGTCCTAAGCAGACATATTCTTTTACAACTTTCAGCGTCTCTACACACAATGCTAAGTGCTGTTTTCTGCAAGACCATAATTTCCAGACCTACTCTTCTGCTTTCCGTGTCAAGTTTAGTAATCATGAATTGTAATTTGTCGACTGAGTTACTCATCAAGGCAATGTCATCAGTGAACTACAGATTACTAGGATATTCTTCATTAGCAGTTATCCCTAACTCTTCCCAATATAGGGCCCTGAAAACCACATGATAACACAGGGTGAATAGGATTGAAGATATAGTGTCTTCCTGCCTTACAGCCTTCTTTATTAGGATTCTGTCGTTTTCTTTGTTTCTTTGTGAAGGACTATGGTGGCTGTGGATCTACTGTAGATTTCTTGTAGTATGTTTGTGTAGGGCTCTTCGGTGACCAGGTTCCGTAGTGCTTGCATTACTGCTGATGTCTCAACTGAGCCAAACGCCGTCTTGTACAAAGGCTATGTATCGGGGTTGGTTGTATTCTCCACATTTCTGTTATACCTGATTGGAAGTAAGAATGTGGTCTGTTGGGGAGTAGCCTGTACGAAATCCTGCTTGGTCCTTTGGTTGATTGAACACTGTCACCTTAATTATTTGCTATTGTTTTTCTAAATCGTTTGTAGAGAATGAACAGTATTCTGATTGGCCTGTAACTTTTCGAGTACTTGACGCATCCTTTCTCATAAATTGAGAAGATGTTGGCGTTCTTCGAGAGTTTGGTACCCTTTCCGTCAAGAGACACTTTGTATATACGGTGGCAAGTTTTTCTAAAACATTTTGTTCGCAATTTTTCAGTAAATTTATAGTTACCTTATCCTCACCAGTGGCATCGCCTCTTTGCATTCCTTCAGGGCTGTCCTTACGTCCTCTGTCATTACTGGTAAGATGTCGAATTCCTCATGATTATATTTCATCCTATATTATCCTGGTTGTTTCGGCTTCAGTACAGCTCTCTGTAGAACTACTCCGCCACATCAACTAGAGTTATGACATTGCCTTCCTTGTCCTCTAATGCATACATCCTATTTTCGCGTATGCACAAGTTGGCCTTCGCAGCTTTTAGGCTTCTGCCGCTTTTTACAGCCTGCTATACTCTCTGCATGTTATACATTGTGACGTCGGCTACCTTACGCCTATTGATTAACTTTGACAGCTCCACTAGCTCTATCTTGTCGGTTGCATTTGAGACTTTCATGGTTTGTCGCCTCTGAATAAGATCTTTCGTCTCCTGAGATAGTTTGCCAGTGCCCTGTCTAGTGACTGTACCTTCCACTTCTATTCCACACTCTTTGAAGATACTAGTAAGATTATCGTTCATTGTGTGAATGCTAACGTCGGTTACTTCGCTTAGAGCCACGAATATATTTTGAAGCGAAACTCTGAATTTCTCTATTTTCCTTCTAGCCGCTAGCTAATTAATTAGCTTCTTGATATCAGTTTAGCGTTTACATTTAAAAATCTGGGTGAATACGAGCTCTTGTCATTCTATGGTAACTGCATCGGATCTTGCCAACTGCTTCTACATCCTGTACCTTGCCTGGGTGTGCACACAGAACGAAGTCTATGTCATTTTTTTTAGTTTCATCATTAAGACTTCGCCACGTCTCCTTACAGTTAGCTGGTTTTCTAAAGAAAGTATTCAAGATCCGTAAATGTGTTATGGTCTGCGAACTCCACTAATAAATCTTCTCCGGAATATTTAGAGCCGATGCCGTATTCCACCACTGCATAGTCTCCGGCCTGTTTCTTGCCTACTTTGACATTAAAGTCGCTCATGAGAGTAGTATACTGCGCCTTCGCTTTATTAATGGCTGACTCTGCGCCTTCGTTGACGCGTTCAACGAAATGGCCATCATGACTCGATGTAGGCGCGTAGGCCTGTACCAACTTCATCTTGTACCTTTTGTTAAATTTAATACATTTACAAAGCTTTATTTATCAAATGTATGAAGCGGTATACCTGAGGCGGCTTTCTGGGCCCCCGTATGTTGAAGCCTATCTCTTTAATATCCGTTGGTGTGAGCTCAAGAAGGGTAGACTATATGTATCTCTACTAACGATTAGCGCTTGTATTAAGCGTAGTGTTGTCCTTTCGTCCTTTGCCCTTCTTTGTTATCTTATGAATCATTAAAGCTATGGTCTTCACTGTACATCTCAGGATTTTTGTTATTTGGCAGCCGTAAACCCAATATTCTCATTGTTTGTCTCACCGGGAGCATTTGATCTTCTATGCCTAATTGTAGGGCTGGTTTGTTTCTATAATTAGTGCCATGAATGCGGCGTTTCTGATTTATCTAGTGGACATATCATTCTCTTTGTTGAACACTTCTTGGGAGAGTTGCTTCTTCGTTTTCAGTGAGGCTAGACGACCCGTAGAGTGCCTATTAAAGTCAGGAATGCACTCCTGTTGCTCAGCTTGCCAATTCATCACTATAATAAATGCTGGTGCACACCGGCGACAAGCAGCGGTCGCGCGACCATTCGCGACAGGGGACCAAAAAGCGACTGATGTTCACACCGGCAGGGGCTGCATGCGAGCGACTGGAAGTCGCAAAAGCGGAGAGTCACGTCCGAATCTCGTTATCAACGAGAATTCTAGAGACCGGCGCCGATCAGCTTATCCTCGCCAGCTGAGTGAGTGAAGCAAATCGGGCGCGCCGCATTTATTGTTTTCGTCCGTGCTCGCACAGCGTTCCCAACAGCGTCAAGTTCAATTCAAGCGAAGAACAAGACATTGTCATGGTGCTGATGCGCTGTGCCATGGTGTCAGCGCTGGCATCACAGATGCCTCCAAAGAAAAAAAAGGCAGTGGCTTAGCTCAGCTATGCCGGGATATATCTAGCGTTAGCAAAGATTCAGCTGATTATTCTTAGCTTTCCAGATATACTTACAGCTGTTCCAATGACACATACACGGTATACGTAATATGTGGCACATGTATATTTATTTTGCCGGCCAACTACTTCGGGATTCGATGAGTTAAGCTTCTCCGCTCTACTGCACCGTTGAGCAGCATTTGCACTCTCCTTCTCCATGGCTATACCACAGTGGCAAACGCCAGTCAGAGGTGCTATCAAGCGGCTCCAGCGCAGTGTCAGATGGCGACT